ATCCCAACCATCCAACCCAATACAATCATCAGCTCGCCATATCCAACCATCCGCCATTCTTTGCCTACCTCCCCTTCGAGCCTCTATCTTGCGAACTCGCCTTTTCTTTGCCCAAGGCTTACACCAACACTTCTCTTCTTTAGCCTTCGCCTTGTCTTTCCTTCGAACTCGTTTGGTCTTGCGTCTCTAGGACTTAAGCTTAGCTCGTGGACCACATCCTTTCAGCCAATCCCTCACACATGATGGCCGGTAAATCGGACTAGATTGCTCTTCCAACATATTTTCTAGCCAAATATCTAGATTATCACCATCATCATCGTCGGACTCACCGGGGTTGATGACCACTTCCGTATCATTCCTCTCCTCTTCGAGACTTTCCTTGTCCTCAAGGATTAGAAAATTTAACGCTCCTTCATCTTCATGGTCATGAGCCTCGATCACCATTGCTTCTCGAGCTTCTATGAGTTGTCTCTCGTATTCTGCTATATTCCTTCGCTCGTGAAGCTCATCAAGATATGCTTTCTCCCAAGGTGTGAGCTCTCTTTCCAAACCTTCCAACATCTCAAGATCTTCCCAATCTAACTCATCCAATGGTGGGTAAGACATTATTTTTTTTTTTACTCTAAAAATTCGAAAAAATTCGAACCAAAAAATTTCAAAAAACAAAGAGAAAATCGGCCCCTCAACAAAAGGTAATAACCGAACAAAAATCAAACAAAGGACTAACAAGATGACACTTTTTTTTAAGACTTTCGAAAAAATTGAAAAATTTGAATAGAAAATTCGAAAATTTCGAACCAAAAAAGAACAAAAATTCGGCCCCCTCAGCAAAAGGCAAAACCGAAAAAAGAAAAAAGATAGATAGATAACAACACGATCAGCATCTCTCATTGAAAGCACCAATGATGACGGATCGTGTTTTTATCTATACGTGGGTTGTGAATAAACGCGCACTAGGGCCTTCGTTCATCCACGATAGGTGTATCTAACAGATGCACTATCGGCCTTCTCCTAGACACTGTGACTTCAAGACGCTCTAATGGCCTTCTCTCCGACACTGTATGTAAACACGCAATAATGGCCGTGTTTAAACACACGTAAGAACAACAGTTCCCCCTCACAATTGGCACACCAATTCAAGACTCAACATTCAACTCCCTTAATTGTGAAGAGTACATGGGGTATTTATAGGTGCATAAAATAAATCTAAGCCTAAATAAACTAAATCTCCTAAATCTTGCAATAATAAAAATCCTAATACTAGAAAGCAATAAAATCCTACTACTACCAAAATACTAATGCTTGGCTTGCACACCAAGCAATTCTAGAAGCTTGCGCATGTCCAAGTCACCGCCCCTACGCGCGCCGCCCTCGGCTTCCCTATTCCTTAGCGTGCGAGGCATCGCGCGCCTCGTCCGTTTTGCACGCGCGCACCCCCGTGCGACCCCAGTCCACACCGACATCGTTCAGCGCGTGCGTCCCCTCGCGTGTGTCGCCTAATCCTTCCCTGCCTAGGACACCATCCGCGTCGTCCCACTCGCGTGCCATCGCACACGCCCTGCCCTCGTTGGCCAACTCCCGCGCGTCCCTGCTACTCCTGCGAGTGCCGCGCACGTCCTTTACGTCCGTGCCGCTCGCGCTGTTGTCCCGCGCCCCGCGCGTTGCCTCCAGCGCCCCTGCGTCCTGATCCTCTACCGCGCGCCCGCGTACGCCCGACACCACCCGCGTGCCGCTAACCTCTGTTGTCGACTCGTACGATGCGCACCATCTTGCTTTGCTTGCGTCCGGCATCTCGACGTCGCTCGCTCGTGCACCGTCTCGACCCTTTGACCCGTTGCGCGCATCACAGCACGATGCGCGTTCTTCGCCCGTGCTCCCACCCTCGTCGCCAACCGACCTCAAGTGCTCGCCCGATTCTTTTAGCTCTCCCGACGGCCATGGATCCCAACCATCCAACCCAATACAATCACCAGCTCGCAATATCCAACCATCCTCCATTCTTTGCCTACCTCCCCTTCGAGCCTATATCTTGTGAACTCGCCTTTTCTTTGCACAAGGCTTACACCAACACTTCTCTTCTTTAGCCTTCGCCTTGTCTTTCCTTCGAGCTCGTTTGGTCTTGTGTCTCTTAGGCTTAATCTTAGCTCATGGACCACATCCTTTCGGCCAATCCCTCACACATGATGGCCGGTAAATAAGACTAGATGGCTCTTCCAACATATTTTCTAGCCAAATATCTAGATTATCACCATCATCATCATTGGACTCACCGGGGTTGATGACTACTTGCGTATCATGCCTGTGCGCGTGTTGGGCGCGTGATGCGTAAGTGGGTTTTGACCCCCGAAGGCGAGAAGGGCCAAAGGCAGACACTATCTAAGAAGGCTGAGCAAACGGCCGTAACAAGGCTTGCATGGCCTAGGAGACGTGCACGAGCCCGTATACGAGGGTGCCAACGTGCACAATGGCATAGGAGGTCAAGCATACAAGGGTCTACCACGATAAGGAGGTCAAGCAAGAAGCGCGAAAGATCGAGGTTGAAGGGTCGAGGTCGACGCTAGCACGGCCGAATGCGGGAGGGTCGAAGCTGCAGCGGATCGACGCACTAGTAGGTCGAGCAGTTGATCGACGTTCGAGGAGTCGAGCACGAGCATCGCCTACGGGCAGTGCGAAAGCGAGGTGCAAGGCTTAGGGCACTTTAGGGAGGACTATGCGTAGTGTACCAGGGTCGAGTGTACGATAGCGGGCTTAGGTGATGCGGTCGAATGGAGCAAGGCGTTCACGAGAGAGCAACGCGCACGACGCTTGGAGGCTAAGGCCCCGGGCGTTTACATTGCTGAGGAGACGAGCAGTGTGCGAGGGGTGGATGTTGGGTGGATAGCGCGCACATGGGACGACCGCGAGCGGGCGAAGGCGCGAGCGGCGACGAGCGCGGCACAGCGTGCGAACAAGCAAGGCACAGTGCGCGGGGCATTGGGCGACACGCACGAGTTGGTCACGCGGGCGAAGGGTGCGATCGCATGCACACTCGAAAGGCGAGGCAAGACCAGAGCAGCAATCTTAGTCCTCATAGGAATAGGCAAGGTGCGAATACTAGACCCCACAGGACTAGGAAAAGCAGCTGAGTGTCGGAACGCGTCTGATTAAGATCGGTGACGGGGGTAATCCTCGGAAGATCAGGCAACGTAGTCGGGAGCATATTCCTAGTAGGTATAGGCAAAGTGGATGCAGGCCCGAAGCATGATCCTTCAAGGAATATAAATGGCACACGCGTGGCGCGAGACCTTAATCCTCGAGGCGAGAGGATAGGCGGTCGTAGGAGGCACGACCCTAGTCCTCGAGGACTAAGGCAAAGGCACGTGGGTGGTGGAGAAGTCCTAGGCAGCGAGAGGTTGAGGCGGCTAGGAGTTTGGAGTGGAGTGCAAGATAAGACTACTTGGAGTGCAAGCCAAGGCATTGGATCCCCTAGCTATTTGGTTTCCTTATTCCATTATAATATCTAGATTGTTTAGGACTCTTAATATTTTATTTCCTTATTAGTTCCCTAGGTAGATTAGGACTAGATATATTTTTTGCCTATATAAAGGCCCCTTCCCCATGTTATTTTTCATCATTCAGTTTCTCAATAAAGATCCGAACTTTTGTTCAAACACTTTGTCTTAGATTTCTTCTAGATTTTTATTGCAATTTTATTCATTTCAGTAGGCGCAGTTGTGGCTAGAAAAACCCCTATCGGCGATTCAAGGCGCAGATTCGTGGCTTATCGGCAATCGAAACAAACGATCTTCATCATTGGTGCTTTCATTGAGAGGTGTTAGATCGTGTGTTTTTCCTACCCCATTCCCTTTCTTTTTTCTTTTCCTATCTTTCGTCCCCCCTATCAAAAAAAAAA